TTGTTTTTTCTCTTTTTTCTTTCTTTTATTGTTTTTTCGTGTTTCTTCTCCTTTCCTTGTCTTAGCTCTTCTTATTTACTAGAAAGCTAGTCTTACTATTATGTATAGTTGGTATTAATTTTAAGTTTTTGGTAACAACTAGTCTTTCTATTTCCGTTTGCCGTCATGAAGTTTAAGTTTATTTATACAAAATGTAGAAAAAGGACCAATGAAAAACAGCTGACCCACTGGGAATGCTGACGTGGTCCTTTTTAACTCATGGCATTTCATTTTGGTTTTATTTTAGTTTTTAAGTATTTTGTTGTTGGGGTTTATAATGGTGCTATGGGTTAATAAACATTATTATTATTATTATTATATAAAGGGCGGTGGGACCTCCATATGATGGCGGATTATTGCTGGAATTTACAGAGAGATTGCCTTAATCAAAAACACAATAGAAAATCACACAGAAAACGATTTTCTTAAAAGTTATCGATATGTTTTTGTTTATTTTAGTTAATTTTGTTTTATTTTTTGTTTTAACTCGAATGGATAAATAATTTTAAAATATAGATTTCAACAATATTCTCTTTTCTCAAAATTTAAATTTTCTGTATAAATTAATACTTTATCTCAAAAACTAGAGTCAATTCAACAAATAAATTACTATTTTTATATTCAGTGGACCAAAATGAACCAAAATTGACTAAGATATCTCATGCCGCAGAATCACTGTTTCTCTGCTTAAAATCATTATAATGATTTTAAGCATACCGCGCTAGTTACAATAATTTGGAACATGCACAACTGTCCAAAGTACCTAAAACAACACCATAAAGCCCAGATCTCAATCCCCTTGAGAATTTATATTTATTTATTTACGTGAGACAGCCTGTATATTAAGATAGCATAAATGCAATTATTTATTCGATTGTTTTGTTTTTACAATAATAAACCTATTTTGTGAATACTATTTTCTTATAACTCTATTTAGAATATACCTAAATCTAATTTTGAGTATATTGCTAAAAAATCTACGTAGATGCATTCTATTAAGAATATATCAAACACTAATTTCGAGTGCATTGTAAAATCTGTATAGATTATAATTTCAACTCTGCCGACATTTAATATGTAATCTTTTTCACTCATCGTAGAGTTAATAATTCACTTTACCATAAATTCATTTAATCTCTAAAATTTGCTCTAATAACTGATTGAAATATTAATTCGGAAAATAAAACATAATTTTGTCGTTCCTATAAAAAGAGACATAATCTTAGAAAGGTGTTTCGCCAGGTGATACTTTTAGAATTTATGGCTCTGACAATAGGGGACATCCGGTTTATAGAATACCATAAGCCGTGGTGAAATAATAATTCGCAATAACTTTTTTAATTAGTTTATTTCCTCTTAATCAACCTTTTATCGCTCTCAATTACCATTTGTTCTCGAACAATAGTTGATTTCGACTTCGAGTTGAAAGCACAAAACGTTATTAACACTTTGATATAAATCTCCATTGAAAGAAGTTAAAATATTTTATTATTTTTTAGAAACAATCGCAATTGTTCCGTTTAACACGAAAATGACCACAAAAAGTTAATTAATTTTTTTGGCCTATAATCATTAAAATTACAAAGTTTATCTTTCTATTAATAGATGTCACTATATAAAAATAAAAATGTTTTTAAGAAATGTTTTAAACGTAAAATTAAATTTATGAAGCACTTAAGTAGTTGAATTATTAATAAATAAAAATTTGTTTTTAATTTTATTTGGGGATTATCAGCGAAATATTTCATAACCTAATTTGATAACGGAAACTACTTCACTCAACTTCACTCGTACGTAACATCTGTCAGAGTGTACATCGTTTTTATAAATAATTTATTTAATCTTGTCTATTAAACAATAAACGATGCCTGCCGCCCAGCCGAAACCAGCCCCTGCAACATCCGAAACTCCCGGAATCAATGCTATTCTGCTTGGCCCCCCCGGATCGGGAAAAGGAACACAAGTAATGAAACTTAACCTAACATAACCTCCAAATAAATTTCATTTTTTAGGCCCCTTTACTAAAACAACGTTTCTGCGTATGCCATTTGGCCACTGGAGACATGCTAAGAGCAGAGGTCGATTCTGGATCCCCTTTGGGTGCAAAAATTAAGAAAGTTATGGATGAAGGGAAATTGGTGAGCGATGACCTTGTGGTCAGCATGATTGATAGTAATTTGGACAAACCAGAGTGTCAGAATGGATTTTTATTAGATGGGTTCCCAAGAACTGTTCCTCAAGCTGAAAAGGTAGCAAGAAAAAATTTTATATTGTAATTTAACATACAGGGTGTTTATAAATTGATGTGAAAGATTTCAGCAAAAATTAACTTAATTTGTTCAAAACCCTTCTTCTCCAAGTTATAGAATATTATTATATTCTCCTCTAAAGTTAAAAGAAAAAATCTCTTGATATTTTATGGCTCCTCTTCACTATGGCTTATTATACAGCCTGTTTCAGGGTACTACTTTCAAAATATTTGGCAGTAATATCGCTCACCGGCGACAATAGTGACACAACTCAAAATTAAACTTTGTGGAGAAATCTCAATTTAAAGTTTTGGATATTTTTCTCCCCATGTTCTAAACGTCATTTGATTAAGATCAATGAAATTGGCAGTGATTATTAATTAGTTTTTACGGTCTAAAATAGTGGGAAATTTCAAAATATTTTTTCTTTTTTAAAAAAGTCCATATTTGTAAGATATGCCACTATTGTCTAAACTACATNAATTGATTTAAATTAGGAATAATTTTATTTGTTTTCCAAAATTCATTTTTTAACAAAACATAATACATTAAATAATGTATTCATTTAATCCAATATTTAACTGGTTGCATTTACAATAAACCTATTTAAAAATCCCGTAGTGACAATTTTAAATTACTCATTTTCTACTTGCTTTGCCCGTTTCTGTCGCTCCGACCGTTAGTCTCGCCCCGGGTCTCAAAATAAACCAACCCGAGCGTCCCCGACTCCGAGCTAGCCATCCTTCTTTACTTTTCATTTAAAAAGATCACGAGTGTACATGGCATAGTTTTGGGAAACAAATTTTGAAAAGTGCTACAAAAATGTTAATGTGACATTCAATAAAACGAAAATATTCAACAAGTTACTTTATTTTATTGGAACAAAGAAAACTAAAGGACAAATACAGATGGAAAGTATACAAAAAAATCAATTTTGGCGTCTAGTCATTCATTTCACTCTGAACTTAAACTAGTATAAAAGTAACTGTGGCATTTCTTTATAGCGTTGGTTTTCACTAAATACATCAGATCCTCATATTTTTTTTAGCAATAGGTAGAGGATTACTGTAAACTTTTTTCATTTCAAAACCTGAAGAAGTGGAGAGAGGCGTCCTTGAACGTCATCCACTAATTAATTTGACTTCTTTAAAATCTGATAAAAAAACGAGTCTAAGTGACTTTTCTCAATCCTAATTACTGAGGCGTCAGCCATTTTGAAAGTCTCTCCGTCTGTGTTTTTTTGAAAATTTACAGTGGTTTGTTCAGTTAAGTGCTTTAAGTCAAAAAAGTCTTCATGCGACAGCTCTATAACGTTATAAGGTTTGCCAGTTTTTTTTGAGGTTTGTATTATAGCTGCATACTGAGATGGCGTATAAATGGGACCTGATTTTAAAGCCCTTTTGACGTTCCTTTCTATTAAAGAATGGACGTTG